CAGGTCTTAAACAGATACAATTTTTAAATTGCTTAAGTCAATTTCTCTAACCCATATACGATAGCCTTAATAATAGACTGCAAAGGAACTGGACAGCTAAGTTAGGGTGGTAGATGTGACTGTTTTTGCAAAACGCGTGTCATGTTAGTCATTTTCTTAACAATCGGTTGGTGGGAACAGTAATTTTACTTGTAAAATTTTGCAGGTGGGGGGAAAAGGAAAAAGAGCCGAAAATTTGAATGACAGTTACAATATACCCCCCCCCCCCCCCCCCGCAATCTATGGTGGACCCAAACTGTACGACTTATTCGCTACCTTCATATTATCCCTCCCCCATCCCCCTCATTTAACTTCCCCTTTTCGGTAGGGGTACTGACCCCCCTCCGTTGGATGGGTCATGGGACAGCAGAAAATGGAAAAAGGGTAAAAGTACAATAACACCAGAGTGAGAAAGATATGAACGCAAATATACGGCTCTTTTTCATTTTCTCCCATCGTTTGAAAAAAAAACTGCTTTAACATGGTTATAATTCAATGTGATTTGGCATGGTGAACAAACTAACAACTAATTGTAAATAGATTTGTTCTTGATACTTTACATAGTAACTTTGCGCGTTTAGCCATAACAACACGTAAAATAACTATAAAATAAGAAAATTTAATTAGTGGGGAAAAAGCCAAATAAACAAGGAAATAAAAAAAAATTGTTTTTATACCTGAGACATCAGTTTGAAAAACAGCAGAGAGAATATAAAAATGGACACCAAGAACTGAAAACACAAATTTTCAGAATAAATTTTTTTGCTAAATAATTCTTGAAAAGTTTTTTTCACTAGGATTGTCTGGACTTAGCGTCTGAAAATCCTAGGTTGACAACAAAATAAAACATGGAGCAGCATAAGAACAAAGTCTTTGTCAAAAACTTTCTACCTCAAACCGGAAATTGTTTCAGCAGCTTACCAAAAGTAGCCAAAATTTGTAATTTTGGTTAAAAAATTAGATTTTAACCAAAATAACTTTTCATAGTTCATATTTTCATAGTCATATCAAAGTTTAAATATTTTTCAAAACGCTCAGGGACACGAAACGAGATGCAGAATCTTTGCACTTAAAACAGTTTGCAAAAAAAGCCGAAAAAATTAACGAGTTTTTTTCATCAAACGGCACTAAATCAGTGGAACTGTACCCAAAGATTGCGATACCACAAAATTATCAATTCATGATTTTTGAATCGATGAATGCAAAGAAGTTTTGAACGCAATCGAACAATCTAAAGAACAAATATCGCACTAATTACTAACATAAAAATTACGAATCCATTGATTGCGGAGCTATTAAAAATGATTTTGTAGGAAATCATTTTTCTTAGTAGTTTTCCAAAAAACGTATAACTAGCTGAAATTGGGCCAATCTATAAAAACGGAGAATAAAAATACTTGGAAATTTTTTTGAGAAATTTCGCTTTTTCCAAAATTACAAAAGATTTTTGAAAAGCTAATATTTAATCGTATGAAAAATTTTATGGAAACTTTTTATCTCCTCTCTAACAAACAATTTTGATTCCGTACCAAAATCGACTGTAGACGACGCAATTGTGACCCGAATTGGAAGATTTTTTTGCAACGACACTAGCCCAATATAAGTTTCTCGCATTATGCATGGCTAACGTAGAGTAAAGTAATTTCGAAAAGCAAAAAAAAAGAACTATTCTTTTTGTTAGAAAACAAAATCTTTATAAAGAGCGCTCAGAATAACAGAGAAAATTACTAGAAGAAATTCAATGGTTTAGAGACTTAGGCGGTGACCTAGCTTCGAATTCAAGTTTTCACAGCCATATCGAAAAAAAGTAACAAAACAGCACTCTTATCACCTGTGATATCTCAACACAAAAGATCATGGCGTGCAAAACTTACAATCAGCCAGTTCTGCGATATAGAATTTTTGCATACGCAAGCAGTGACATCTGCTCAATCACAGCTCTTGAAATGAAATTAAACGTATTGTAAAAAAAATTCTTAAAAAGCAAAAGTGAGTCAATTTGCAAAACAAGAGCAACAAATTTAGTTTTTTTTTCACCAACAGAAGTTTTTCAATTTGAAATACTGAAATTGTTGTCCAAAATTCTCAGAAATGTGACTGAAGTAGACTGGGGTTCACGTTTTTGAGAATGAAAAAGTGTTGTTTTTTCAATTTCCTGTTTTCGATATTATTTATGCTATAAAAGCATAAAAACAGAGAAATTGCATGTACAAAACAGTCTATCTTATTTCTCTTATTTCTGACTTGACGCACCCAAAAACAGGTTCCTCAAGCCTAATGTTGTCCTCTCGGTCTATCTTTTTGGAAAGGAATAAATATGAACCCTGTGGTTATAATGGTACAATTAAGTTGAAAACAATTTTTTATGATTCTCTTAAGTTTCGAATTTTTTATGGGTTATTTTTTGGTACCTGAAAAATGATACAATGCAATGCATTGAGTTTCACAAATGGCGTTGTTTGCTAATTTTGAGGCACTTTCTTAGCTGGGGTGGATCCAGGGTTTTTTCGAGATGTGAGTGGCCTAATTAAAAAAAAATCAAATTTTTTGCTGAACTTCTTTTAAAGTCGATCAAATGGATTATCCTAGTTCTTCCAGATCAGTATAAGAAACATGTTCTGATCAAATTTCTTACGCCGCTAGTCAACCCAAAATGGAGGTCTTATATTATATATCGGATGCCTTTTTATCGTCAGGGGATCATTTTTCTGAACAAGGGGCATCTGCCCACACCCACTTAACAAATATGTCACTGAATTCGAGCGGTGGAATCCCTCATGCGCGCAGGACCGAATGCGCGAAAATAAAAATCAGCCAATCAAATTTAAGTAATCTAAAATTTGGAAAGAAAGTAAACATTTCCAGGGACTGGAGCATTGATATTGGCTGAATATAAAAACGGCAGAAATATGCAAATTTTTAAATTGTCACTGACCGCCGCAAAATTGGGACAAATTTTGCACTTCAAGGGTTTCGTAATGAAAGAAGCTAAATATTGCTTCATTTAATTCATTTTAACTGAATGGCGATTGTTTCTTTTTAAAAATTGACTTTCGGCTAATTTTGCCATCGGTCCTTGGCTCACAATTTTTTTCGCCCATTCGGTCCTTCGCGCATGAGAATAGCCCCCAATTCGAGCATATACAACAATTGTACGGCCAGAAAAGTTACAGCAGCTGATAAACTTGACAACATCAATTCAATGAATATCTCATTTTTTGTGTTTTCTTTTTTTAAAAAAAAACACTGAATTTTTACCTAAATGTTATCACTTTAAACCACTTCTGGAGTCTTTTTCCTTTTTTATAAGGTATAAGTTTGTCAACCAATGTCGTCGTAATACTGAAAAATTGTTTGACGGCTAAGAGATGTGAAAGTTACAATCTACCATAGTTACATCATAAGTGCAAAACATATGCTTTAGACTAAATAAAAATTTTCAGATTATATCATACGTTAGTGGAGCAAAACTCAAATGGTAATTTTTAACAAAAGTGCCATTTATTTTTTTTCATTCGTAGGTCTTTGGCTTGAATTTAAACTTTTTTGCTTCTTGAATTTTCCATCTGAATTTGTTCGCCTTTTAATCTGTGTAATCTTCATTTCCTGCAACAATTTAGGGACTCTATTAAAAATGATGAAGTAGCTCAAAAACATAAAAATTGAAAGGTAGCAAAAACAATAATATTAAATCAGAACTGTCACCATAAAGGTCATCGCAATTAAAAATCAGAAAGAAATTCAATATGGTCATCTGTTTTCTATCATAGTTGGACAATTTTTATCAGAATAGCCGCGAAGGAACAAACTAACAATTTCAATTATAAAATCCTGAAAAATCCCTTTCTAGATACCAGAGGCGTTCAAATTTTTTAAAAAGATCTAAGTAACAGTGGTTCATTTTTTGAATCGATTTCTGTGTTGTTGAATCAAAAATGTGTTGTTTTGATTCGATTTCTTGTTCTAGATGTTAATCTATGCTGTAGAAGCATAAAAACAGAAAAATTGCATGTGCAAATCAGTCCATTGTTTTTCTGACTTGACGCGCCCAAAACAGGTTCTTAAAACCTAATGGCGTCCTCACGGTCTAATTTTTTGCAAAGTAGTAAATATGAAAACTGTGATTATAAGGGTACAGTTAGGTTTGAAACAACTTACTATGATTCTTACTCACTTCGAATTTTTCACGGAGTACTTTTTTTGTAAGCTCAAAAGTGAGGCGCTGCAATGCGTTGAGTTTCACAAATGGCTTCGTTTGCTAATTTTGAGGCGCATTTTAAGCAGGGGTGGTTCTAGGATTTTTGTTGAACTTCTTTATGAGTCGAACAAATTGATTACCCTAGTTTTTCAAAATCACTTTAAAAACCTATTTTGACCAATTTTTTTACGCCGCAGGCAAGTTTTAGACAAAACAGGTGGCGTTTTAAGACAGTTTTTGGAAAACTTTGACCAAAAATTGCGTTTTTAGCGCGCTCACGCTCAAAATTAGTACTCAATGGCGCTAAGGCGCCTTTAGAAACAAATAAGTTTGGTCAGCCCAAAATAGAGGTCTTAAATTTTTTATCGAATGCCTTTTCATTGTCAGGGGGAGTCCTGAAGAAAAGGGGCGTCCGCCCCCGCCCTCTCCTAAATACGTCACTGAATTCAAGCAGATACATTAATTTTACGGCCTGTAAAATTACAGCAGCTGATATCCTGGGGAACATCAATTAAATTATATCTCATTTTTGGGTTTTCTTTTTTTCAAAAACAACACAGAATTTTTCCTAAATGTCTTCACTTTAAACCACCCCCAAAGCCTTCTTCCTTCTCTTACATTCATTTTGAAAAGATAAAAAAGTTATGCATTTTTTAACAATTCTCATCGTAATACTGACGCATCTATCAGACGGGTAGAAGGTGCCAAAGTTACAATCTACTATAATTACATTATATGTTCAATAAAACATGCTATAGATAAAATAAAAAAGTTTCAGTTTATATCATACATTATTGGAGCAAATCTCAATTCGTAATTTTATACAAAATTGCCATTTATTGTTTCATTTTTGTTTTCATTTGTAGGTTTTTGACTTGCCTCTTTTTGCCTCCTAAATTTGCCACTTGAATTGCTTTTGCCTCTTCATCTGTGTAGGTCACAATTTCTGCATAAGTTTTCCCAATATGAAACTAGATACGGCAACGTTGGTCACAAGAAACAAGAACAACAGGAATCGGTTAATTATTTGGGCAATGCGGCTCCATTCGTTCCTTCTAATCCTAATTTGCCTTTGCAAGTTCAAGTGCACCACAAAATGACTCAGATTTCGGTCAATATTTTCGAGTAACTCATTACTGGCAAGTCGTTCCTGTCTAGAATTGCAGCTCGTTTTTACCCCGACCAAGCTTCGTTTTGTAGTCGGCATCCCAAACAAGGAAGAGTTTTCAAAAATCTCAGAGGGCGTTGTTGAAGCAGTTTCGTGAATAATTTTCTGAACAGGTTTAATAGGAAGTGTTTTGCAAGTTTGTTCATCCAAATCCCATGCTGTGTTCACGTGTAAATTGTAGACATATCCGCTTCCGTTCGGACATTCAACGGTCAACCGTCTTTTGGATGGTTCTGTTTGCTGAAAAACATTCAACTCAATCATTCAAAAATAGTGCTTCAACAAAATAGAGCTTCAACAAGTTCGCACACATCCCAACAGTATAAAAATTATATCCCGTGACATTCAGTCAATTGCGACTTTAGAAGGGAAGGGGGTAGGTGGATACTTTCTTTTCTCTCAGCTCCTGGTCATTTTTGGCTGAACAAATATAAAAACAATCTCATCGCTCTGAAAGTTTCTCATTTTGGTACAGGAGTGCGCGTCAAAAACGCAATTTTTTTGATAAAATTTTTCTATAAAGTCAATTTTGGCCTCCTCTTTTCTTCTGAATTCGCGCCTGCCTTCAATAGAGTGAGTTTTTAGAATTCATCGACTTTTAGACCATCTATTTTTGTTAGTAGCTTTTTAGTGCTAATTGATTTTTAATTCATCTAAAGCTTTTTTCCCTGAAAAATCGGATTCTTGGTAATTTGTTAGGCTTTGGCTCAGAGTGGCACGTTCCGCTCTCCAAAAGAGGTGTACCGCAAAAAAATTCTTTCGCCCAATTTTAGGTTCAAAGAGCCAAAACTTCGAAGACCCAAAAGCAATATGAATTAAAGTGAAACTGATTAAATTGATAAAATAACGCTTTAATTTAACAAATTTTATCAGTTAAAAATTTATAAAACTAACTGATTTTGATTCGTCAGCAAAATCTTCTCGTGCCCAAATTCTTGGCTCATCATCTTGATTGGCACCTGTGGCTTCAACAATCCGAGATCCAAACATTCGGAGCCAGTTAAAAGCCAGCTTTTTCAACCAATCAGGGGGCGACGTATTTGGTTCTCTTATCCCATTGGTTCCGATTTTTATAACAATGTAGTGTGCAACTAAAGATGCAATTGCGATCAAAAACTGTGCTGACAGGAAAACACCTGAAAGAAAAAAATCGATTCTGCTGCAATTATTCATTCTACAAGGCGATTATCTTATGACAGAGCACATCTAGCTATTCAAACAGTTTTTTTTTTGGTAGAGTGCGATGGTACTTAAAAACCCGTCGGTTAGTCTTGAAAGCTTATGATAGAAAGTAGAAAATAGTCAACAGCCACACCATTATCCAAAAATCATGAAAGAAATCAGGGGCGGATTTAGGGGGGCGGGGGGGCGGACGCCCCCCCCCCCCCCCCCCCCTCAGGGATTCGACCCCCTGCCGACCCAAAGGGTCCCCCCTTTGATACTTTTTCAGAAATCCATTTTTGGCCGACCGACCCTAAAATTTTTCTAAAGGCGCCTTTGGCGCCAATATATACTAACTTTGAGGGGAAGCGCGCGCCAAAAAAACGCAATTTTTTTGTCAAAATTTTTCAAAAAGTGCCCAAAAACGGCTTTTTTGACTGTTTTTTCAAAAATTTGCCTGCGGCGCAGAAAATTTAGCCAAAAAAAAAGGTCGTCAAAATTTTGGAAAATTTTTTCAAAATTCGCCCCCCCCCCCTCGAGAAAATCCTAGATCCGCCCCTGAAAGAAATGGTTACTCCGCACATCTTTTTCTGGTTTAACAAAATATTATGAAGAAAAATTATTTAACAGTTTCTACTGATACCGTTGTACGGATAATCGTAGAACGGATAATTCTACTTAGTTACAAATAAGATATGTTTAAAAAGTGAATTAATCTCTAAATTAAAACATTAAAAAGTGAGCGGTCATTCTCTCCGTCGGAGAGAATGAAGATAACAAGGTCATATCTAAATTAACCAGTTAAGAAACTTTAAAACTAATTAAATGAAATAAGACGAATGGTAAGATTCGCAACATTCCCCTTAGTGGGAAAAAAATTAAAGTACTAAGCGCCATGATACATAACATGTTATCTAACCCTTTTTCTCCCTCTCGAGAAGTCCAACAAGGATTGAAAATTAAATACTGCGCAATATCACAAATGAAATTTTAGTGCTCCGAAGGAATGACTGAATTAGAAAGAATGATATAATTTCTAATTCCGGCGGATTATAATCCCTAGTTATAAGAAGGTAAGCTCTAACTGCGCTGAAACGAAATACTAGTACGATTATAATGACTAAATGCGAGTTTTCAAGTTTTTGATTTAGTTTAGCTGTCCCCTTCCATGAATTTTTCTAGCTCAGCGTTAAAAATTTCACTGTCTAAGTCGATGTAGTTGTCGAAACTATTCACCGCATCTCTCAGGGATTCGTCAGTAGAGGCGATGGAGAATTGATCGGGAGATGAAGGGTACGCTGGGCCCGGTTCACGGTCCTCCGGTAGAGTGTCGCAAATGTGGGTCTGGTTCTCCGAGGGATTCTCTCTGAAGGTTAGTGTGGGGGAGCCCGAGCTGTCGCCCTCGTCCAGAGATATAGGGTTATTCGCGGAGCCTGGTTGGTTTTCGAACTCGTCTATAATATCTATGTAATATCGCTTACCATAGAAATGTGGGGGACCAACATTTCGACTTGAACGTTTTAATTTAAATTCGTTACCGCTGATAGTGATTTCCTTAGGATGTCTTTCCTCACTAGTTGCACTTTCATTAGAGGAGTCCTCTATCTCAAAGACTGGAAATTCCACCGGATTTTCTCCTTCCAATGCTTTTGTTGAATGCGAAGGAGTGTTTGGGCCCTCTGTTGTCGTAGCGGTAGAGGATTCACCAGGTGGGTGTGAGGTAGTTTGAGGTGCTGGCTTTATACTAATTGGGCATTCCGCTGTATCTGTAGATTGAAGTTGTTCGTCTAAAATCTCAGATTTTATATTAGTTTGATATGTTTGAGGAGCTAATGATGGGGAAGGTTTTTCGTTAAAAATGAGGTTATCTGAAATGAAGCGTTTTCTTATCATTTCTCTGCATGGAAAACCTCCCGCAATCCATTCCCAATCACTAGTGTCCGACGTATCCGACGGAATGAACATGGATTCGTCACCTGCTAAGTATCCTGTGTTCGAAGTCGAGGCTTTATTTCGGTTTCGCTTCGATGTGTTGAATTTAGTAGGCTGTTTCGTTCCTCTAGATCTGGTGGTGACCGGGGTGAAAGACTCTGTGTGTCGTCCTGTCTTAGTGTCTGGTTTCCGCGTCTGTTGTTTCTTCGCTTTTGTCTTTCTTGGACCTACTTGTAAATCACTGTTAGAAAAAGAGGGAAATGAGATATTTCCTTTGAATGAACGGATTGTAGAGGATTTAGACTTTGGGATGGCGATGTCCGATTTTCTAATGGTTTTTCCGTCGGATAGTTCAACCGTGGATTTTGTTGAGTTTATTATTTTCTGATCTAGTTGTTTATAGAAGGGATTTCCGTTTATACTTCCGTTGGTTTTTCGTAGTAAATTACCTTTAAACGGACTGTTTAAGGACACTCGGGAAGATGAAGGTTTTGAGGTTGTAGGAAGGTCTGAGTCGTAGCCTTTCTCCAATGGTGACTGGTTCTTTTTCAGTACAAGAAAGTCTTTGTATCCGTCCTCTATCCGATCGTCAGCATTTCAGTCAAGGGCCCTTTCTCTGCTTAAGATCGACTTCCTTTTGTCTAAAAATCCACCGGATAATTTACTAGATGCCAATTGCTTCCAGATCGTGTTCGGTTTTCTATTAAAGTGTATTTCGAACGGTGAGCATTTTATTTTTGATTGAAAGGAAGATCGTAAATTCCAAATGATTTTCGAAATGGCAGTTTGTAATGTAGGTTTTTGTTGTTCTAAAGACATTGCTAATAATTTGATTTTTACAGTATGAACAAGTTTTTCTACAAGACCGTTAGAACGATGGTCCCCAACTGTACAAAATATTAATTTGATATTGAGAGAATTGCAAAATAAATTAAAATCCTGACTAGTAAAACAGGATGCGTGGTCAACACGAATAGAGTTAGGAATCCCATGGAGATAAAAATAATCTTGAAGGAATTCGATTACCCTGTTTGATGACGTTGAAGAAGTAATTTTTGCTGATGGGAATTTTGAAAAACGATCTATACATAATTAGATGTATTTATTGTTTCCCCAGTTGTTATCTAATGGAACGGCAAAATCAAGGTTTAATTCCTCATTAGGTTCAAATAAAGTGGGAAGTTCGCTAATTTGTGTAGTTGGTATGATGCTTTTTATATTCTTACCGGTTTGGGTGCATTGTGTGCAATTAATCCCGTGGAAGTAAATTTGCCGGTTTTTATGTGGCCACCAAATATATTGTGCCAGGTATTTCATACCGAATTGGCCAGGGTGAGATTCATGTAAAGTTTTTAAAACGGCGTTTCTAAGTGTAAACGGAATAACGAATTTTCCATCCATATATAATATTCCGTCGGATTCATGAAGGTCTTTCGAAAATTGGTGTAAGTAACGGGAATTTGCGTTGATGTTTTCTACTTTTTTCTGTAAAGCCTTCACAATTGGGTTTAACATCTCATCATCTTCCATTATTAAAGCAACCAACTTTAAATTGAATAAAGTATTTAAATCCAAAGGTCTTTCAGGTAACTTGAGGTTTTCTCGAAATTTAGTTACTAACTTTTTGTGCTCTGAGGAAATTTGGAAATCAATAGAGACTTGTATCCCGGAAGTGGAAGGATTTACTACAATTTGGTTATTTGACATATTTACACTATTTATAAGTTTGAAATCCGAAGGATTGCTAATTAAGCTACTGTTAATAATTAAAAAATAAATAAAGGCTGAATTTGATAGAAGGATTTTAGTAGAATCTGTGCTTGAGAAATCCGAGGGAATACATTTAGAGTTACAAAATTCTGTTCTAAAGTGTTTTTGATTGCAGATTGAGATGGAAGAATTGACGAAATTCAATGCTGTAATTATTACGTGATTTCGTAATTTCGTGTACTGGGAATTTTCCGAAATTGAATTAATTGAATTACGTAATGGATTTTCATTATCCAAAGGATTGAGTGCATTATATATTTTTTTGGTAGTTGCAACTACGAATTCTTCGTCGTAATGTGATGGGGGAATTGCTTTACCCGAAGGAGTTCTTGAAATTAAATCGATGAAACCCATATCTTTTCCCGCTAAATGCTTGATAGTAAAATTGAATGGTAGAAGACGATCTACCCATCTTGTCAATCGGCTATGGTACGTTTTGTTTCCGTGATTAGGTGACAAAGCAGAAAGGAGAGCTTTGTGGTCGGTAATAATTTCGAATTCGGAGCCGTAGAGATAATTTTTGTAATGTTCCACCGCCCATACAACTCCTAATAACTCTAATTCGTTTGTTGAATATTTGGATTCATGAGGATTTAAAAATCTTGAAGCAAATGACACTGTTTTCCAAACGTTTTCATGGAGTTGTTCAAGGGATGCACCTAATCCATTATGTGAAGCATCGGTTTTTACTCTCGTGGACTTTTTTACGTCAAAGTGGGTGTTTTCAGTAAGATTACTATTTCTGATTTAATCTTATCGAATGCTTTTGAGTGATCTTCATTCCAAAGGAAAATTGACTTCTTGTTTAGAAGAGGTCTAAGCGGGCTTCCGAGGGATGCTAAATTTGGTACAAACTTAATGTACTGATTAGTTGACCCGAAGAATGATCTTAATTCTTTTAGATTCTTTGGAATTGGAACATCTTTGATTGCCTTGGTTTTATCGAATAGTGGGGCGATTCCGGTTTTCGATATTTTAAAGCCGAGCCATTTGATTTCTTTTTGGAAGAATTTGCATTTCGACCATTTAACTGCGAAATTGTAACTATCTAGCGTTGATAAAATTTTTTAAACAATTTTCTTGTGATCGTTAAAACTTCCTTTGGAAGCGACTAATATGTCGTCAAGGTAACAATTTGTAAAAGGAATATTTCCCAGAGTTGAGTCCATGACTCTTTGAAACTCGTTTGGCATATCGCCGAGTCCGTAAAAAGCGGTTAAAAATTGATAAGTGCCTGTTATATCTCCGCCAACTAGGCTAAAATTGCATTGGCTGCTAGTAAAATTGTCTGGCGAGAGTTGACTATATGCGTTCTTTAAGTCTAGATTTGTAAACCATACTTCTCCGGCGGAATTGTTTGAAACTTAAGCCGCTACGTTATCCACTAATTCGTGTATATTGGGCATCTGATATTTGTTCTTGTAAATTTGTTTGTTGATAAATTTTGAATCTAGAGCTAGCTTTATCGATTTGTCTTTTTTACAAGTGATAACTATCGGACTAATAAATCTGTCTTTGTCACAGTTTTCTAATTTTTTGATGTGTCATTCGGATTTAAGTCTGTATAATTCTGATTTTACTGAATCCAGTAAGTGTAAAGGGACCCTCCTGCCTTTTAGTTGAATTGGCTTTAGTGGTTCGTGAAAGTGTGTTATTTTTGTTTGATTTTTTATCTTTCCAATCCGAAGGAATAATTGTTTGAAGGTTTTGGAAATCATTTCTATTTCATTATCTGTGTCAAGTGAGGTAACTGAATTGATAGACTTACAAGTTCTCTTATTGGTGAGTGTTGTGAATTGTTTTTGTGAAACTTCGATTCCGACTTTTGGTAAATTGTTGTTTCCCAAGATGTTTCTTCCATGACCTTGAGTTAAGAAGAAGTGGCATTCCTTGTGAGACCATCCATTTGAGAAAATTGGGACAATTACCTCTCCAGTGATATTTATTGCATTGTTCGTAAATCCGCAATAGAGTTCTTTAGTCGCTTTATCCACTGGATAAATTTTCACATAAGGGTCTCGTATCTTCAACTCGTGTAACACATTCTGTTTAAGGAAGCTTTCAGGGCTTGCTGAATCCACCTGTATATTGAGAATTACTTGGTTTTCATTTCCTGAGCCGATGTTTAGTAATTTCTTCAGTTCCTTTCCGTGGTCGTCATAGATAGTTGTTACGTTTAATACAGAGTAATCATCGTAACCGCTCTGTCCGGACTCCGACCATGCGTTGATTACTCCACAGCATTCTCTATTGGCGTGGTCGATATGTACATCCGGTTGTTCCGAAGGATAATTATGGTCTGTATTATTTACAATTTGACTATCCACAATTTTTACATTTTTACGGCTCGATTTACAGAGTCTAGTAAAATGTCCTCGATATTTACAAGTCGTACAAGTCGTATCTTTAGCGGGGCAAACCGCTAGATGTCCTTCTGTAAAATTTCCGCCGCATTTCATACATGTGTTAGTTCTTTCGATGTTTAGGGTGGGTTCTCTATTTACATTAAAATGATTAAAAGATTTGTTGGAAGAATATCCGTTGGATTTAAAAGTACTCGTCATTTTGATCTGGTTTGTTATTCCTTTTTCGTCAATCAGGGCTACATTTAAGGCTTCTAGTGGAGGTAGGGTTTCCGTGAGAAGTTTCCGTTGGATGTCCGAGTTCTTCATGTTATTGATAAAAATATCTCGAATCCATTCATCTTCTCCTGTGGGAATGTTACATCTTTTTGCCATTTCTGCAAGTGCCCCCCAGAATTCTTCTAATGATTCTCTGTCCCTCTGTTTTCTGTCTAATAGCTTGTGTTTTTCGAAGGTTGTGTTTGTCTTTCTCACAATAGCTACGGACAAATTTTCCCAGAATTCTTTGAAAGAAATTTGTAGAACTTTAACTCTCGTGAAGTTTTGGCCGAATATTTTCTTTCCTTCGTTTCCGAGGGCTAGATAGAGTATGGATCTGAGTTTTTTGTCCGCCTCTTCAAGTCTCATGCCGTTGAATTTCTTGGTTTCTGACTTTATTGAGGCCATTTCTTCATCATCGAATCTCTTTTGTTCTCGAATATTCCTCTCGATGCGAGATGTTTTTTGAGCGTCGGATTCATTTTCCGGAGGATTTTCCAATGTTGGGGGAAGTGGATGATATCGTTCCGATGGATTTAAGAGATTTTCGATATCGATATTCTCCTTTGCGATTATTGCTAGCTGGAATAGATCGCTCCACTCTTCCCAAGGAATTGGTGGGTCCACTGTGTGGTTTTGCCAAAATGAAGGTATACCTCTCACGGTTGATTCGTTGCTGTTTGACTGCGCCATGATAAAATGTTTCTTTGTTACGGATAATTCTACTTAGTTAAAAATAAGATATGTTTAAAAAGTGAATTAATCTCTAAATTAAAACATTAAAAAGTGAGCGGTCATTCTCTCCGTCGGAGAGAATGAAGATAACAAGGTCATATCTAAATTAACCAGTTAAGAAACTTTAAAACTAATTAAATGAAATAAGACGAATGGTAAGATTCGCAACACAGTTATACGCAAAAAAATGCATATCTTTTGTTGAAAGGGGACTGATTTTTCTTTGAAATACTATGCGACTGTTTTTATTATAATATGACTGATAACTTCCAAATTTGATCAATTGATCGAAAGCTACGAAGCCGAATTTTTGCCTGAAAGACCGTACCATGAAACATATCGAGCCTCACACCAGCTGAGGTATGGCCGTTTGGTTGTAGGGGCAAGGTGCCAAAAAGTATTGAGGGTTGAAAATCTTTGGACACTTTATTTATGCTGTTTTAACAGTAAACAATTATTTAAAAACTCGCTGTCTCAAATTTTGAGACCAATTAAATTTCAAGTTGAATAACTGGGAACTATGGGATTGAATTTTATTGTGGGTGCTATGGACGTTAGGAGCTACGAGATATGACTTTTAACCAAAGAAAGGCCGAGCACTATATGCTCTGCTACAAGGGGAGCCCTCATATCGCAAAGTCTCTGAGCGACCTCCTGAACTTTATGTTTGCAATTAAAAACGCTACTTAATTGAATGGGCTGGTTTTGCTGCTTTTTCAAATGGATATTTTTTCTTTGACATCATCTCCGCAGTTCAAAATTGCAAAGAAGTGACAAAAAAAATAAAATTATTTTCTGAATTGGACTGCTCGTTAAATTTTTAGTATTTTGACTATGTTCGAGGTATATTTTGATTTTGTGCTTGTATATTTCGAGTAATTTGTTTCGGTCGAGCACTGAATTGGTGCTCGACTTGGAAGATCGAAATTTGAAGAGAGCACTTCTACTGGTGTAAAAGGGAAAGTTCAGAATAACTCCCTGCTTTGAGCTCACCTATCCAGGGCATTCCTCCTTCTTCTCCTTGTGGCAAGTTAGATGCGGCAAGCATCATCACTACCAGTTGGATGGCTATATTCACAACTCCCAAAGTCGACCTCTCAATGGCATCGCACGGAAGGAGGAAAACTGAAATTACAAGTCATTATAACAGCTTATATTCAAATCTGACCCTGTCCTTCCATGCTCCTGATCGACCTGATAATACCCGGGCCGAGATCTTTGTTTTATGATAAGCCTATCGAGAGCAACTTATGTTATTTCCAGACTATCGCGACTATGGGATTTTCAAGACTGCCGGCCAAAATTCAGTTTTTTCAGACTTGGCAGAGCAAAGAGATGCAACAGCGACCGGCGCAACCCTGGAAAAATTATCCGCGACCGGCCCAACCAAAACAAGTTAACTTCGACCGGTACGACTCAATAAAATAATACTGCGACCGTCTTGACTTTCGCAAGTTGCATTTTTATGCTATAAACATTAAACATGAAATGTAAAGTCTGCAATTCAATGTCCAGATTTTAACGACTTTATTTTCAAGCTATAACGCGATTCATTTTTAGACTATACCGCAACTAATTGTTCAGACATTCGAAGAAAACGGAATATTTATGCTGGGTAGTTTTTTTATTCAGTTCATTTTCGGCGATCATAATTTTAGATTTTAACAAAAACGAAAAATACCCGATTGAAGATATCGACTTTCTAAAATCAAATGTAATAAATATTTTACCCCTTATTATTTTTTGCAGAGTTCTGGGAGTTTGAAAAATGCAAATCTGGCCATGCTCTGGACTAAATTATGCGCGCTCTCAAAATTTTATTCATAATGCTGAAAAGGAAACGTGAATTATTTATGCGTGGCGAATAATCCCGCTCAACAAAAAAAATCAAATTGATTTAGGGCTAGCTGATTGGTCGTACTAACTTTGTATGACTCAATTTTTCACACTTGATTTTTGATACTGCCCAAAACTGATAGTTTTTCAAAAAAAATCCAAAATTTTTCGATATGGATTAGGAGACAGTTGTAACATTTTTGATATTCCGAATACTGCAAGTGAGTTTTCGTATTCGGCTGTGCATTTCTATTTAATTTCGCATAAAATCTTAAATCAGAATTCAAATGCCGCTGAAGAAAACATTTTATTTACGTACTATCAATTGTTATCTAACCTTTATTGAAAAACATCAAAAAAATGTTCCATATCGAAAAAAGCGGTTCGAAATGTTTGATTTTTCAGCAAATTGCTTTTATTTTAATATTGAAAGCTGCTAATGCAATTGAAAATTTTTTTTCAGTTATGTTTTAGTCCTTCCTCCCCTCTTGATTTACGCCAAAAAATTACATAAAATTCCACACAAACTTAAAAAAAAAAGGTTAGTCTTGTTTTTTAAACTGTCTTAATGGTTCTAAAACAAAAACAAATGATTCGGATAACTGGTTTCATCAAGCTTTTTTCGATTTACTTTAAAACAAAACAAATTGTCCAAAACTTAAAACATATTAACGCTCAAGAACTTCGTATTTAGGTGTTGTGTAATACGTAATAGGCCTACTATATATTTTTTCTACGCAAAAACTAAATGCTAAACTGAATGCTATTTTAAATTAGAATCGTGTGATTTTACTATATTTAATTAAAATTGTTTCAGTCGTGGCTAAAACTCATTTATAATTTTCGAAAAAAGTTCCCAATGTCGCGAAAAATCAATTTGAAAAAATTGCGTCTTGATTTAATTTAGAACAAGTAAAGCAAGTGAGCCTGAAGAAAATAGTTAGTAGAAACCGAAATAGAAACCACTGATGTTATAAAAATACTAAAAGGTAAAAAAATTTAAAAAAGAAAAAGCTTAAGAAAAAAATTTCAATTTTTCATTTTAACAACAACTAGATTAGACGAAGCTATTTATTACTTGCTCTCCGGATGCACCATAAATGACCCCAGTTTTCAATGTAAACTTTTAAAAACTGTTTTTAAGATTTTTTTTCCAAAAAATATGCGTGGTCAAAACTTTGTGAATTCTGTATTCGAGTGTGTTTTAGTTTCTGTTCCACGCAAAATCAGATACCACAGAAAATACTAAAATGATTTGAGTAATATATCGAATTAAACTTTCAGCTCTGATGCAGAGGACATTATAAAATTTCAACTAGTGTCGAGAAAAATTGGCTTAAAACTTTCGATTTATGGTGCAATTTTGAGCAGGTAAAGCGCAAGCGAGCAGGCAGGCTAAAAATTTTCAAGCAGCGAAACCTTAGTTTTACTCCACCAGTTTTTTCCAGACATTTTTTAGCCTTTGGAATAAATAGTTTCAAAAAAATCAAAAAGGTGTCAGCAAAAAAAGTTATACAGGAAATAATATTTGAAATGGGTCGAGGGATATTTCACAATAAAGACCTTTCAGCCTTAATTGAAAATTTTTTTAAAAATTCAGTAAAGTTGTCCTGGTCTGGCTTAAAATTTTTCGGTTCAAGTGCAATTTCGAGGAAGTAAAGTGAGGTAGCAGGCTTATTAAAGTAAGATCAGCAGCAAAACTTAAATTTTATTTAAACTTTTTTCATTTTGTAAAACTTTTTTTTTCACATAAATATTTTCGTGGAAATTTTTTTCTGATTTTTTTTTGCCTTTTTCAAATGTAGCAGCAGTTGAAATAGACTTTAAAATATATAAAAGCTAAAAAGAATTAAAAATAAGTAAAATATAGTTTAATTTTGCCATTGAGAGAGTAAATATTAGTCTAAAATTTAGATGAGATGCAAAAGTTATAAATAATGATCAACTCGGTCAAGTTATGCTTTTCAGAACCGGAGTTTTCGCTAAAAAAAAGTTTTAATATGCTACTACACCTTTGAACATTACTAACACCTTTGAACTTTTTTTGAGATAGTCAAAATTGACTCGAAAAAATCCACACTATTAAGAGTTCCGACCACTCTTTAAATAGTTCCGACAACTTCAATACTTTGTATGTTGTAGCAGAAAAGCACCTATTGCATTGATTTAAACAACATAAGTTTCTACTTACTAGACAAGGATATGAGAGCAAAGGTGGCGAAAAAGCTGCTCCATAATTTGGAATGAAATGTCATCTTCCGTCTGACGTGGATTTGAAACCGAATTGAAGCGTAGTGTTGTCTTAGTGAATCGACAAATACTCCCAGAATTTCCCAATGCGCCGAAATTTTCATAGAATCATGAGCACTTTGTGCCGATTGGTTTTGCATGTACAGTCTAAGCATACACTTTTTTTCTCGACTCAATCGATGGGTGTTTAATTTGAACAACCGATCGGTCGAATTGTGAAATTAAACAAGATGATAATTTCATTTAATATCAAATCTATATACAAATTTATATCAAATCGATTCGTTTCCAACCTCCTTTGTTTTTGTACTAAAAAGTTCCTACAAAAAATTTCTTCTCCAATAAGTGATTTATTCAACAGTTTACAAGAACACTCGGTACCAATTTTCGCCTGTCCAATTTCAAGTGGGGGCAGTTGAAGAAACGGTAGGGGAGGGTTAGTTAAAAAAAAATTTCACACAATTTTGAATAAAGTTATTTTACCATCCAAAAAACCTTGAAGCTCTGATTTTAAATTCAAAATGAAAATTTAGTTGTAAATTTTGAAAAGTGTAGGGCTTGAAAATTGCCAATTAATATAATATAAAAAATAATATGGTTCCTGTGAATCGCAGAGAAGCTATCAGTAGGCCTTAACAGTCCTGTCTGTGATAGTCCGTTTGTATTATTTCCCCACATTCCAGACTGTGTTATTTTAACGAGTAAAGCTCTTTTTTTGCAACTCAAGGCCGTTTTTTTGCGACTAGAACTTTCACGTGGTACCACTATTGCAGTAAATTTTTCATAATATGAAAAAAAAACAATATGGTTCCTGCGAATCAAAAAGGAGCTACCAGTAGGCCTTAACAGTCCTGTCTAGAATAGTCCGTTTATATCATCTTCTCACCTTCCAGACTGTGTTATTTTGTTGAGCAAAGCTCTTTTTTTGCGACTTGAGGCCGTTTTTTTGGCCAAATATATTCGACTCAAGGCCTTTTTTCTCGACTCAGGGCCAATATATTCAATGAGCTTGTTAGAAAGATTAATTTCATATTTCTTATCAATATGCCATTAGGGGGAGGTTATACGGTAGGTTTTAAAAGGAGGATGGTACAGTTGATCCAAAGAATGCCAAAAAACTGAAAACTTTTTCAACTTCAATTAGTTTTTTTTGTTTTTAATATTTTTTCTCTCTTTTAAAAAAAACTAGTCAAAAATTTTTCCATATATCTTAAATGCAGTCGCAACATTCAAGGCTTCGACCTGATACGAGTGTTCTTCTATTCTTTTCAAATTGTCATCAATTTTTTTACTAACTCTTCGCTGGTGTAAACTTGCGAAGCGAAGGATACCGTGCAGGTCTGTGAGTCATAGGGAAAAAATGTTCCGTCAGTGGTGCAAGTGGTCTTGAGGTGCAGTTGTGTGACTACTGAAATTAGTCCGTTGTTCTTTACTCGAGCCATGCAGTCACGGAACAGGCCAAGGCCACTGTGTATGTCGTATTCGCTGAAATAAGAAAACGGTTTGAACCTTAAAGATAACCTTAAAGATATTTCAAAACTATTTTACGGTTAAGAATCAAATTGTGACATTTTATTGACCGCAAGATCAATAGACTTCGCTCTGGTTTTATACAATGGCGCAGAAAAGGCTACATATGCGGAGATTTGCCTGTAGAGCTGACAGTCAACCGATTTGTAGCTTTTAAGAGAACTTCCCGTGTATCATAACCTGAATCTGTAATTTGATTATAAATTTTTTTGTTTGGTCAAACGCCAGGAGGAAATTTCCTGAAATAAAGACTCTTTTTCATTATAGAACACTTTGCAATTAAACAAAAGTTTACCTTTATTTTTAATCAATTCATACTTTTCCATTGTTCCATTTTCTACGGCAATGTTAAGAGATCTTTTTTACTATTAATTTATGTGTCAAATATGCATGTCAGCTAAGTTTAAGAACCTATCATCTAGTTGACTCAAACTTTGGAATTGTTATCGTTTGTTGCTTTGTCGTTCTGATGACTACTGAAATGTGATCTTGATGAGTACAACAACTGGTGTCTGCTTCAAGTTAAATCAAAGTAGAAGTTTACTGGGCAAGTTGAACAAATTATTCCAATAACGTAATTTTTTCCAAAAAGTGTTCGCAATTTTTGAAGTTTTTTTTTCGGGTGAATCTGCAGATTAATGTCGGCCTTAACTATTAAGAAACGTTTCATATATTCTCAAGCAAAAAATTGCTCATTGTTGAAATTAAAGTTTCTCAAACTTTGTGTCTTAATGTCGGCCTTAATGTCGGCCATTTTGCTATTGGAACATGTTCCAATAGCAAAATGTTCAGACCAATTTCTCTTGACGCCAAAAATACTTTTATAAGCTTACTTTTAGAATCAATAGGATCCATCAGCTAATTTTAGAATCCATCAGTCATGTATGCTATCTCTGCGCCATCAAGCCTTAAAATAAATCAAGTCAAAGGGCTTATCAACTAAAACTCTTATTTGAAAGCTACTAGAATGAGTTAATATTTCTTAAGTTTTAGCGATGATTTTCTACGGATTCATTACTGAAATAGCTCTGAAACATCGCAGGTTTAGCTATGCAAAAAACTCTGAATTATACATGATTCAGTGGTGGAAAATAGCGATCAATGAGATACTACAGAAAAATCAATAATTAACGGTGGGACTTCAACCCGGGGGCAAATCTCATGATGGAGGGCTTGAATGATGAAAATGTTCCAACTAATGCGAATCATTTGAAGTTCCTAATCATTAGATTATTTTTGCACATATTTGGAGTCAAAAATAGAATGATTTTTCAGCAGTATTGCCAAATTTGGCTGTAAAATTTGTGCAGATATCAAAGTTTTTCGTTTTGTAGTTTTTCAAATGGGCATTTGAGGGGTTTAGAGTTTTTCCAATGAGTCTAAGACCTGACAATAATTAAAAACTTATTTATTTGCTGCTTTTGCAATCTGCCAATTTCAACGTCACGATTTTATTTGTTTAGGGTGAAAATATCGCGACTTTTCTCAGGTTTTTGAAAACTCAATTCTGATTGACTGAAAAAAAATTTCGGCTCTTTTTTCATTTCCCCCACCTCGCACAAGCATCAATTTTGTGGTCTAAGGGCCTAAGTAGTCTGCATGTCAATTTTCATGAAAATTGGACAATGTGAACAGTAATTTGAATTATAAAAATTTGCAGGTGCGGGGGAAAGAAAAAAGAGCCAAAATTTCCACTATTTGGTCTTTCATGTTGAAGTCCTACCGTTAACTGTCGCTTTTTCTGTAGTATCCCAGTGATCGCTATTTCACAGCGCTGATTCATATATAATTCAGAGTTTTTTGCAGAGCTAAACTGAGATACTTCAGAGCGGCTCTTTTTTCTTTCCCCCCACCTGCAAACTGCAAATTTTTATAATTCAAAATACTGTTCACATTGTCCGATTGTCATGAAAATTTACATGTAGGCGGGGGGCGAGAAAAAAGAGCCTTCAGAGCTATTTCAGTAATGATTCCATGGGAAATCATCGCTAAAACTTAGGAAATTTTAACTCATTCTAGTAGCTGTCAAATAAGAGTTTTAGTTCATAGGCCCCTTATCTTGATAGTAGCTAAGGATTGATGGTGCAGAGGTAGCATAAACGGCTAATAATCAGATGGTTGAGGGATCGAACACCTGGTAGAGCACTGTTTTTGCTCATTTTGATAGTTTCTTATCGCTGTTTAATAGCTGAAAATAAGCCGAGTTAGCGATGATTTACTGATAACATTTGCTAATGTGGCAATGAACATCGATAATTCATCGATGGTGATCGCTGTTTTTTCACTTTTTCATCGGTAATTTTCAATATGAGCTCAACCCGGGCTCTCCATCATAAGGGATGCCACCTCTCTGATATAGACTGTGAACTAAAAAGTCAATTAAATGAGAAAACAAAAAACGAAGGAAACCAGTAAGAAGAAAGCAATTCTGCTTATAATTGAGAAATTGAATGCAATTTTGCGGACCCGGGTTGAGCTCACATTGAAAATCGGCAAAAAAGAAGTGAAAAAAAAACAGCCATCGCCATCGATGAGTTATCGAGATTCATTGCCAAATTAGCAGACTTTGTCGATGGGTTACTGCTATATTAGCGCAAGAAAAATTATCAATTATTTATCGTTGAATTTTCGCTGATTTATCGCTGGAAGTTTTATCATTTTTTCAGCGATGAAAGAGCAATAATTCATAGATGATTTAAAGATTTTTATAACGTTTTATCGATAAGTTATCGATTATTTGCTCTGAACTGTGATTAAAAATCTGAATTGTGATGAAATAACTCAAATTAGTCTGGACAGGATTTTAAGTACGGACAAACTGTAGAAATCGGTCGCGATGGTCAAAAAATTAGTCGCACACTGAGTCTAGAAGTTGGACTCTTTTAGAATCAATAGGATCCATCATTAGAATCAATAGGATCCTTCAATAGGATCCAGAATCAATAGGATCCATCAGCTTTTAGAATCAATAGGATCCATCAGTTAATTTTAGAATCCATCAGTCACGTATGCTATCTCTGCGCCATCAAGCCTTAAAATAAATCAAGTCAAAGGGCTTATCAACTAAAACTCTTATTTGAAAGCTACTAGAATGAGTTAATATTTCTTAAGTTTTAGCGATGATTTTCTACGGATTCATTACTGATATAGCTCTGAAACGTCGCAGGTTTAGCTATGCAAAAAACTCTGAATTATACATGATTCAGTGGTGGAAAATAGCGATCAATGAGATACTACAGAAAAATCAATAATTAACGGTGGGACTTCAACCCGGGGGCAAATCTCATGATGGAGGGCTTGAATGATGAAAATGTTCCAACTAATGCGAATCATTTGAAGTTCCTAATCATTGGATTATTTTTGCACATATTTGGAGTCAAAAATAGAATGATTTTTCAGCAGTATTGCCAAATTTGGCTGTACAATTTGTGCAGATATCAAAGTTTTTCGTTTTGTAGTTTTCAAATGGGCATTTGAGGGTTTAGAGTTTTTCCAATGGGTCTAAGACCTGACAATAATTAAAAACTCATTTGTTTGTTGCTTTTGCAATCTGCCAATTTTAACGTCACAATTTTATTTGTTTAGTGTGAAAATATCGCGACTTTTCTCAGGTTTTTGAAAACTCAATTCTGATTGACTGAAAAAAAATTTCGGCTCTTTTTCCATTTCCCCCCACCTCACACAAGCATCAATTTTGTGGTCTAAGGGCCTAAGTAGTCTGCATGTCAATTTTCATGAAAATTGGACAATGTGAACAGTAATTTGAATTATAAACATTTGCAGGTGCGGGGGAAAGAAAAAAGAGCCAAAATTTCCACTATTTGGTCTTTCATGTTGAAGTCCTACCGTTAACTGTCGCTTTTTCTGTAGTATCCCAGTGATCGCTATTTCACAGCGCTGATTCATATATAATTCAGAGTTTTTTGCAGAGCTAAACTGAGATACTTCAGAGCGGCTCTTTTTTCTTTCCCCCCACCTGCAAACTGCAAATTTTTATAATTCAAAATACTGTTCACATTGTCCGATTGTCATGAAAATTTACATGTAGGCGGGGGGCGAGAAAAAAGAGCCTTCAGAGCTATTTCAGTAATGATTCCATGGGAAATCATCGCTAAAACTTAGGAAATTTTAACTTATTCTAGTAGCTGTCAAATAAGAGTTTTAGTTCATAGGCCCCTTATCTTGATAGTAGCTAAGGATTGATGGTGCAGAGGTAGCATAAACGGCTAATAATCAGATGGTTGAGGGATCGAACACCTGGTAGAGCACTGTTTTTGCTCATTTTGATAGTTTCTTATCGCTGTTTAATAGCTGAAAATAAGCCGAGTTAGCGATGATTTACTGATAACATTTGCTAATGTGGCAATGAACATCGATAATTCATCGATGGTGATCGCTGTTTTTTCACTTTTTCATCGGTAATTTTCAATATGAGCTCAACCCGGGCTCTCCATCATAAGGGATGCCACCTCTCTGATATAGACTGTGAACTAAAAAGTCAATTAAATGAGAAAACAAAAAACGAAGGAAACCAGTAAGAAGAAAGCAATTCTGCTTATAATTGAGAAATTGAATGCAATTTTGCGGACCCGGGTTGAGCTCACATTGAAAATCGGCAAAAAAGAAGTGAAAAAAAAAACAGCCATCGCCATCGATGAGTTATCGAGATTCATTGCCAAATTAGCAGACTTTGTCGATGGGTTACTGCTATATTAGCGCAAGAAAAATTATCAATTATTTATCGTTGAATTTTCGCTGATTTATCGCTGGAAGTTTTATCATTTTTTCAGCGATGAAAGAGCAATAATTCATAGATGATTTAAAGATTTTTATAACGTTTTATCGATAAGTTATCGATTATTTGCTCTGAACTGTGATTAAAAATCTGAATTGTGATGAAATAACTCAAATTAGTCTGGACAGGATTTTAAGTCGCGGACAAACTGTGGAAATCGGTCGCGATGGTCGAAAAATTAGTCGCACACTGAGTCTAGAAGTTGCGTATCTCGGTCAATAAATTAGGCTGATCATTAGGCAGTAAGCAAGGGCACCGGCCTTTTAGCATATTTGTCGATTATCATCCCACTGTAAAAAAGCAGTTGACTCACTTGCTAATTCAAGTTTTTTTATTTGAATTTTTTTTGATGGTTCGAAACAAATCTTCAACTTTGTTAGCAAATCACATGATTATCAAAATAAAATGAAAGCTTAGACTAATTTTATTTTTGTCCAAATTAACACCAATTAACACCAGATCAAGGCAATCAGTGCATGTTAAGTAGCATGTTACATATTAATAGTTTGAGTTTCGTTTTTTTTTCTCTTTTAATTGAGAACTAAATTCGCGGTCTGGATCAGACCGGTCTGCTTGTCATTCACCATTTCTTGTAACACTTAAGCTTATTTCGATTCTTGGAATTGTACCTGTTTTGCACAGTAATGTCTGGTATCCAAATCATACCAGCAGGAACAACAATTTCGCCTTCTTGTCCATAATTGTTAGTGGACCAACTCAGCAACTCGTCTGTCCAACTCTATAGAAAAATCCACAAACTTCAAAAAATAAAACAACTTTCTTGAAATGGCATTGAAACTTCTTGAAACTCACCATGTTTAGCACCCAATTTGTAGTCAACTTTCCGTTCGTCTCGTCCTAAAAATAACTTAGATACATCTTTTCTTTTCGATTTTTATGTTTTTTAAAAATCTTAACAAGGTAAAAAAACGAAAATATTTATCAAGCATATTAATAATTGGAATTGCGAAAAGTAGAATTTTCTCTGAAATTTTTTCGATTTTTAATGAGGTTTCTTGTTGCTTTTATATGAGAAAATATATAAAAAACTCAGAACTACCCTGTCACAAAAGAAACTCTTCAGTTTTACCTTCAAAAAAGTTAGCTCAGATCGGCTCCCGTTGGAGTCATCGATATAACCGAGTTTATTAGAAGCGTGCTGGAAACTTCAAAAAAGTTAGCTCAGATCGGCTCCCGTTGGAGTCATCGTTATAACCGAGTTTATTAGAAGCGTGCTGGAAACTTCAAAAAAGTTAGCTCAGATCGGCTCCCGTTGGAGTCATCGATATAACCGAGTTTATTAGAAGCGTGCTGGAAACTTCAAAAAAGTTAGCTCAGATCGGCTCCCGTTGGAGTCATCGATATAACCGAGTTTATTAGAAGCGTGCTGGTACTATTTACTTGAAAATGATGTTTCGATTATTTATATCTTTGTCCAGAACACACAAAGAACTTATGGATTCAAGTATGTATCTTTCCTCGTAATTTGAACGACTTCGATCAGATGGGTCTTAGTAATAAACAATATTAATTTATTTCAGTCGCACTTGAAACTTCAATGAAAAATTCCCAAAATTATTTCAAAGTGTAGATTTAAATGTAGAGAAAATGGTACGATTTCCTTTGCATTCCAAACTAATTTAGAACAAAACGGATTAACTTAGTCAACCTTCAATGAAATAGAATCCAGGCAATGTTCTCACTCTTTTTTATTTTTAATTAACTATCGGTTTAACCGAAATTAACTGAAAATTTCTTTTAAAAAAGTTGAAAACTTGAACTATCTTTAATCGTTCAACGCTAATGGCACAGCAAATGGCTGCTGCTGCTTTTTTTGCTACCAAAACCGAGTTAATTGCACACCAATTGCTGCATGAGAGGGTTTAGAAGACATACTAAATCGACTATCTCTGTCAGGCGCGTGTCCATAGTTACGATGGTAGGAGTGGTCTGCTGTAAGACTGGCCGTAGATTCTTCAGGTGTGGTTTGGACTCTATGATGTCCTCGAAGATGCGGTGCTGATCCCCTTGAGTGCACAGACCTGTATTAGAGTATTAGAACAACTATCGTAAGTCACTAAGATAACACTTATGTCAAATTCACCTGCCATTTCATGAAGTCCCAGTCATGTCCAAGAAATACAAACACAAATGATTGTTTTTCAATCTTATTCTATTCAAATATAATTGGATTGTTTTCTTTTAACCAAGTAAAATGGATTAGGTTTTGTATTTTCAAAACACTACATGCTTTTCATAGCATTATGGAAACCAATCGGGTTAGTAAATATCTATGGTTTTGGTGAAAAAGCGGCCAAAAAAGTTTAGGCTCTGCAAGCAACATGTTAGCAAAGCTTCATTATTTGATTATTCGTGTATATTAACAGCAGATATTATTCCTTTAAAAACTAATTCAATATTTGAGTTATTGGAATTACTCAGTTTGATGTCCTTCATGAATCTAAAATCATACCTCCTGGACATCTTGCATCTAAAACACCAGCTGTTTATTTAGCTTACTTGATTATACAGAACAAAGCTTTTTACAGAACTTTTTCGCAATTTTAATCATTCAATTTTTATTTAAAAAAATGAGAAAAAGCGCGGTTTTTCTAAAATTTTAATCAATTAAACTAAGAATCGAAAGCTTTCGATCATCTTTCTAATCAAAGGGAGCAAAAAACGAGGTAAATTAGCCGCTGAATACTGTCTTGAATTTTTCATATTTTCGACTAATTGCATAATAACATAACTAAATATTCCATCCCAGATTCGTTTCAGAGTACAAGCCTGTACTGTTTAAATTATGTTTCAATGAAACATACATTTTTCATGCCTCCGAACTCTATACAGTGTCAGTTCAACTCTTATCAGAGATAAATTTGGACAAAACTAAATCAAGCAACAGCTCAGAATCATTGATGAAGCGGTGCTGATTTTTGCAATATTAAACAAAAAAATTAATTACCAAAAGAGCAAGAAAATTTATATTTATATAGAAAAGGGACATAAAAGTTCCAATTGATTTTTTTGATATCAACGAAAAATTGAACGAAATTTTTCTTCACGTTGTTCATCCTCGCGAAGATTATAAGGAATTTGAAATAATGGGCTCAAATTAGTTCTTTGGGAAGCTGATGAGCTTGACTTACAGTCTACGCGGCCAGTTAACGACAAATAACAGAATTGAAAGAGTAACTTGACCTGGCGTTGAAAAACAGCATACATTTATGAGAAATTTTGCACTGAGGATCAAAATAGGTCCACATTAAAATTATTCCAAGAAATATCTAGGAAAAACTACCGCTTCAATCCGTGCAAAGAATCTCTGTAGCAATTATGGTGTGTGAAAATTTTCCCCCATTTTCTAGTATAAGCTCCAAAAAACTTTAAAATATGCGTGGTCAAAACAGAATCGACCGTTTTTTGACGCCGGACCAAGTAAGTCTTTCAATTTTGTTATTTGTCGTTATCTGGCGGCATAGGGTGTACGACAAGCTTATCAGCTTCCCAAAAAACTTTTTTCAGCCCATTAATTTAAATTCCTTTTATATATATAAAATAATTTATGAAAAATTTTTAGGTGAAAATTAAATGAAAAAAAATCTGTAAAATCAGATTGAAAATTAGTTGTTTTCTTCAGTTTTCAGCTTGATCTTGGTTGATGCGTTTTTTTGTCGTTCACTTTACAGCAGCTACTTCTTGACACGTCTTATATGCATCCATTCTTGAAAAAACCGCTGTCTTGCATCATGAAAAAGTCAAGTTTTTTTACAACAGAGAAAATGGAGCAGGTAGCATGTCTGAAGTTTTTGTAATACAGTCCTGCATCTGCTAACTTTGACCTTCATTGACCTTTTACTCAGCTTCATTTAACTTTTATGTTTAAAAATTATGGTTTTTTTTGTTTTTGACGGCAAACTATCGTTTTCGATCATTTTTAGGCTTCATTGAGTTTCCCAAGTAGCTAATTTTTTTTTGTAGTAGAGGCAGTGTTTTCTGGAAGCCTCAATTACTTTTAACACAATCAACAGAAAACTTGAAAAGGATCAAAACTTCCAAAGCAAAACAAAAAACGACTGCTTTTTCGAAGCATTTCAGAGTAATTTTTTTTGGTCTTGAAGCTGTTTGATTTTTAAACTATAATTTTTCTGATTGAAATTTCTGTGATAAAGTTAAACCAACTAAAAGAAACAAGTTTAATTGGTAAAATGTTGTTTCTGCTAAGACATTTAGGAAGTAAAATTCAACTTTTTCTTGATTTTCTCTGCGGAAATAAAAGTTTTATTTCAATTACGTTGTTTTTCAGGCAATTTGCGCTTCCATTTATTCATTAGATATGAGATTGAAGTGAAATTAAGAAAAAATTAACTGGCATTTTGGTCATTGGGATACATTTTTTTCGATTTTTAAAGTACTTTACTCACATGATGGCTCCTAAAAAACTAAAAACTACTTTATTTACTAGATTTTTTACGTTTTGAAGAAAAAAAATTTGAATTTTTTTTCTAATAATCTTCCACGATACATCTACAATAAGAATTAAACCAAAAAACAAAAAATTCACACCGTTTTTCTCCTAACTGAGAAAATTTGCCCAAATTTTTAAAAAATCGCTCTAAAGACGATTGGAAGCGCTTCAATATGATATATTGCTCAGCTCAGTCCAAGGATTATTTGTGGTACCTAGTTTTGCGTTTAAGACCAAAAAAATGAAAGAATCTAAAACACATCCAAGTATGTAGTTAAGGGTTATAAGATGTTTTTGACTCTTTAGGGCTAGCCATTAATGCGATTCAATTTCAGCTTGAATTTTAGAGATCATATATATATATATATATCCGTTTTTAACCAAGCTTCATTGGCTGCCGATTAAATGTCGACTTATTTTTAAAAATTGCAACGCTTGCTTTCCAAATTTTGCGGGATTATCACATGCCAAGTTCTCTCTGCGACAAGTTATTTCCCCTGATGCCGATTAAATGTGGAGGCCGTTTGCTGCCGTTTGTGGAGGCCGTTTGCTGCTGCCGAGTAGAACGAAGTTTCAGCAGTTTTTCGTTGTGTGCAGTCTTTAAAAGTTTTTAAGCGCAATCTGAAGACTCATTTTTCTGTTAATATTTTTAACGCATAGTAAATTTTGTAGCACTTTGTATAAAAGTGTAACTTATTCTTTATTCGTTATTTGTTACTGAAAAGATCAACTGCGCTACTTAAAAGCGCATTTTAATTTTTAATGTTGCACTTTTTTATGCACTTCTTTATTTGCAAAATTAGAAAATGAGAAAATGGTGGAGTTTGTGCTTTGTAATTCAAACCTGGTCTATGGTTTTTAACATTAATTCAGCATGTTTTTGTCCTCGTCAAGTCTTTTTCATTTATAAACAAATGACATTATAATCAAACACCTGTTTTCATCAAAAGCTTTAAGAAAGGCAACACATAGACAAAAAATGATTTGGTTTAAAAACGAATTGATTTGGTTTAATAGATTATTTTTTTTGTGTTGCAGGTACATTTTATAGCCTTATAAAACTGGTATGAGAAAATACAATTCAGCTGATAAACTAACGTGGTTTGAAAACTACCAGTCGATAGTATAAACTAAAGTCTAGATAAATTGGCGTAATAATAGAGTTGAACTCACACACTCACTTATTTCATATTGGCCGAGTTTTTTGGAACAAGACTTAAAATTCGTAACTTAGTATTCTGATTTATTTTTATTAACGTTAGTATGAAGCCGAAAGTATGCTCGTCAATTTTTATCATGAGTGGCTCGTGTGTCCTTTTTTGGCTGATACTACAAATTTCCTTCAATCAGGAAAAATCGAAAGATGATTGTCCTCCAGTTTACGAGTTCATTAAGGAGCGCACGCTCGGATCAGAGGTGCGAATATTCGGGAAGCGAGAAGTGCAGAGATATCGTTCAAAGTTACCCGAAAATTTCTGCAGTACTGAAAATATCCAAAGTGAGGCTGTGGAACCATGGATGAGCGAAGAAGATAAACTGATGTTCCATCACTATTTAAGAGATACAGCTGAAAAGAACCCCCAGTGCATGAGTTATCTCGAATGGGGGAGCGGGGGTAGTACTTTCGTTGCCCTCCAGTATGCTCACAGGGTCATATCTATCGAGAACTACGCCGAATGGTGCGGAATAATTCTACAAAGCCCGCAAGTTTTGTGTAATATTCTCAAAGGTCAACTTGTATTTGTTTGTGTTGACGCGGGACCCGTCGGCCCTTTCGGAACGCCAAAAAACATATCGAACTACGTTTCGACTCATTATGTAGACGTAATGAAACACTTTCGAGACTTCCAAGCGGACTTTGTGCTGATCGACGGGCGATTCCGCGTAGCGACGGCACTTGCGTCTCTTCGAAACTCCAAAGCAAATAGCGTAATGATGTTTCATGATTACAAAAAATGGTCGGATTACTGGGTTGTGGAAAACTTTTTCGACCGTCTTCAACCGCCTAAGGAGACAAATGTTTCAGTGTTTGGCGCGTTCAACAAAAAGAAGAAAATTGATCACAAACTTCTGGCTGAGAAGCAGAAAATATTCGATCAAAAGTCGCATTGAGTGCTATTAGATGTTGGTCGAATATTCGAAGCGAATACCATAAAAAGTATCTTCTATATAAATTGAATTGAATAGTTCTTTCGAGTTTTCATAATATTTGAATAATTTGCCATTAGAAATAGCTGATATGTTAATAATAAACAGCTTCTACAATTAAATATTCATTTTCATTTTATTGATAAAAATTTGTCGAACAATTTAACATTTACTTCAGCCTCACTTTTTGAGCAAGTTTTTCTCACCATTTTTAAAAATAAAGTTTCATTCAGCGTTTATACAAAAATTTATTGGCTGAGATGTGTAAGCGCGGCCATGTAGTATAATAAAAATAGGTTAGATTAATCAGGAATCAAAACAAGACTGCTTGTATCAGAGCGAGGCGTGCTAATTGTCCCAAATTGGCCAAAGTGGCAATCTTTAACCACCCCCCCCCCCATCTCAACTTATCACAGGTGAAAAATCTTTTCAAGTTTAAACTCACGAAAACAATACCTTTTGAATGATATAAGAAAACTTTCGTTGAAAATGGCTAGTTAAAAAGTCGAAATGTGCCTAAAAAACCCACCCCGAGCACAAAGTATTCCGTTTCTTTCGTAACAAAAGTCGGAACAATAAGGCAACGGTTTAGTATCTCTAGATTTGATTGAGCTGCTTTATTTTCCGTGACGTCTAAGATACGTAATAAAATAAACCGCAGATGGCGCAGTGGCTGCAAAAATCTTCGCAAAACTTCAAATTTTGCGTGAAAAAAAATCAAGAGTGGATCTAGGATTTTCTCGGAGAGGGGGGGGGTGGGTGGGAGGGTGGGTGGAGTGTGGATTTAAAAAAAAAATCGAAAATTGTGTCGACCTTTTTTTAAGTCGACCAAACTGATTTTCTTAAGAGTGAAAAGGTGAAGTTGTTTAATA